GAAAGAGGATTGCCCTGTTGCATTGTCCTTCGCATTTATGCTTCTTTGGGGAAGAGGACCCCTTCTTAGATGAAAAAAAAAACAAACAAAGGTATTATCCTTCATATCTTGAGTCTAAAGGTGCAGAAACAACTTAACATTTGTCTCCACAGCACATGAACGTCTGCAAGTTCTTTTCTCCTCCATCTGTGACGTATTACATAAGTGCCTGAGATGTCCATCTCGACCACTGTATTCCAGATGGTGATTCAACATGGTGGCTTACACAAACTGGTGCTCACTCCTTTGTATTTTTAATGGATTATTTATATGTTTATGAGGCTATATCAGTTTATTGGAGTAATTACATGCTCATCAATGTATATTTATTTATCATTACAATATTGTTATTTATATTACATAGCCTCAGAAAATTACTTATCATACCTAATGAATGCTGAGAGCAGTAAAGGTTTTACTCTGGTCACGTTTCTTTTGAAATAATTTTTTTAAAATTTCAGTTACTGCTTCTCCACCTCTCATTTCTTCTTTTTGATTCCTCGATTTTGCTTTCTTGGGGAAAGACATGACTCAGAATTCACATTAGCAGTTCTCTATTTATAATAAATGAGTGCAGGTGGACTGAATCATTTTTGCATCACTTGGAAGAGGTGAACAAGATGAAAGCCTCATTGATTCAACCAACTGATTTATTAAGATAAATAAAATGAATGTATTTCTTTTTTTGTTCAGAGACCCCAATAAATGGCACAAATACAGTAGTTGGTTATTATATCTTAATCATATATACCAATGAGGATGCATTAACACACAGTCACTGGTAATGGCACGGTTTGGAGCACCATTCAAATTCCATTTTTTTAAGGAATGCTTAATTTCAATGAAACCATGTCAAGCCACATTTTGCATGCATTCCAACAGCCTGACTCCAAAGAGCCTGGATGCTAAACTGGCATACCTGCAGTCCAGACCTGTTATAGGAAAAACATGTGCATAAAACAGCAGGGATTCTATAAGAAGCAAGAATGGTACATGGAAAATGTATTTCAAAACCACAGAAATTCACAAATCCACAGTTCTCAAACACAAAGGTTTTTTTTTCCAGTTCTCTATTGATAGTGTGGTTAGCCAGCCATATAGGGATGGATGTGGTCACTAACAACACTCAGGCAGGCTGTGGCCTTTCCATGATGTTCAGTTGGTGCGCAGAGAAGTATCCAACTTCGGTAAGCCCGTGTGAACTGTAGCCAGTGTTTTGTGTTCTTAGTTGACAGGAGTGGCCCCTGATGTGGTCTTCTGGCTGGCTTAAGAGTCGACATGTTGTGTGTTCAAAGAGGTTGAGTTACTGTTGGACAATTCGACATTTACCATGCTTTTCCTGCCATGATAGGTCAAGGTACCTGTTGGTCAGTTACAACATGAACTGTGATTGTTTGTGGATGCAAAGGGTGGAGAGGACTTGCATTAGATGCAGCATGAAGGGATGCAGCCTTTTCAGGAAACCCATCCCCCTCTTTCTTTTCCCATTCTAGCTTCGTGTGTGTTGCCTGTAGAGCAGCAGTCAGATGGCGGTGATCACACAAACATGAGATTTGGCCAACAGATTACTCTGGAACACAATGGATGGCTGGCGAGGATCAAGCCCCTGCTAAGGCTTTCTTTTTATATTATCTTCACAAAAAAAAAAAAAAAAAAAAAAAGCTCCTCATTATCGTCTACTCAACCTCTATGTGAAAATTACCCATTGTATGAGAAACCGGTGGGCTGGATTTCCGCTGACAGCCTCCATTTGTCCTCTTCACGTATGCTTAATAATCAAAAACCATGAACAAAGACCACGACAAGGAGATAGGTAGGTAAACAAGGGTTTCAAATGTTTAATTCATTTTAATATCACTGGCAAATATAAATTGCTGCTCAACGATTCGTTATCAAAGGGGGGCTGTTTCTCCCCTCTCTTACATTTGAAGAGATTTCTTTAGAAGACAGTGTCCAAATTCTCCAAATTCTTAAAAAGTTAAGTGCACAAACCTTAATGTTATTATTCAGCAAACAGACGTTTGACCTTTCTGAGAAGAAAGGCAGGAGGTGACGACGATGTTCGATGGAGCCGTGACGAGGGGGTGTTGTCTTGTGTGTTTTGTGTCTAATGCGATGAGAGCACCACGCCTGAGACCCGTCACGAAGAAGAAAAGAAGGGAATGACCTTTGTGATGCACGTCGCTGTTGTCGTAAACACATCGGATGTGTCTGTTAGGCCGTAACAGGTGTGTCTGTTTTGAGCCGCTTTGTATGCAGGGATAAAAGTGTGCAAAAAAAGACAAGAAAAGCCAAATATACACATGAACGTGAGTTTTCCTCTGATGTGGAAAGCTGTAGCTTAAACAACTGGTCTGACTGTAGTCTTGTTCTTTGAGAGATTCCACACCTGCTTCTTAAGGCAGATGCTGAGAGCACCAGGGTCTTTGTACTGGAAGTGAGAGGGGTGCGATGTGATCACTGACACATACAGTACACTGCCCCGCTACACACACACACACACACACACTTTGCCTGAACCACTGATGCCAACGCAGCATGTGGAGGAGGGTGTATTGCTCACACATGGTTGCATGGCACAAACACACACACACACACACACGCACACGCACGCACGCACACACACACAGAGATTAGTGGAAGACAGAAATGAGACGATGGATGGGGAGGAGAGAAAAAAATGGTGGCTACCACAGAAAGACATTAATGCTCTTCTTCAAATAAAACAAATAAACAGAAACACGGATTTACAATGTTTTTAAAATCACCCACCCTCTACTGCCAAAAAAAATACACCTCGGAAGACAATAATGCAGTAAACTCACACACACGCTCACATACTGTACAACACACGTATGCACCGACAGATGGCATTTCAGTGAACACACCTGCCCACTCACACCTACTTTTCAACACCCCCAACCCCCACTTGGTTAGCGTGGCTGCACAGTCCCTCTCCGTTTGGACAAAAATAAGCAGCATTCGACACTCAATGACTAAACAATCTCATATCTATTTTTCTGCTTTCCTTTTTTTTTCTCCTTTTTTTGTGTTTTTGTGTTTTTTTGGCGTACCATCGTCATGCTTTAAACTGAGATCTGCAAGTGGCGCATGCACAACACGCAGGGAGCTTCTTTTGGCACCGTGCTGCTACGACTGCAGGGGTTGATAACGCGTACATTCAGAAGAAACGACAACAGATCTGCGCTCCTGTCCCTGCCCGTGATGACTGGGAACCACACGCGAAGAGGAGGAGGAGGAGGAGGAAGAGGAGGGGGTAAAAAGAAGAAGAAGAAGAAAAAAAATCTCACAAGGCTCAAGAGCCATTTTGTCTGAGGCACGGGCGTGGGGGAGGGAAAGAGGTGATGGGAGGTGAACCGGCAACGCCACTGCGCTTGACCCGGACACCTGCTCCTTTCGCTTTTTCTACTTTCTAATCATTTTCTTTTTTAAGTTCTTCAGTTTTTTTGTCCCATTATCCTTCTCTTATGGGCTTCGAAAATGGCTAAAAGAAAAATCAGAATCAGCCACAAAGAAATCACTTCCTAGGAGCACCGTGCTGAATTCAGACAGACACTAAAGCCTCGAGGCACAAAGAGACATTTCTCAATATTTTATGGATTGACTAGGCTGTGCAAACAAACTACATATAGGAAACTCTCAATAAACCTCACAAGAAGAACATAAGCTATAACTAATTAAATAGATTGTTTTTGTATATTCATCTATAGATTTATCTAATAAATACATCTGCTGATAGACACTTCTTTCTGTAAACTATTTACATTAAAAGGTATATATTTCTGCTAAAACAATAAATAGCTATGAAGGCAAGGCGAGGGAGAGAAAACTGATTTCGTTTAGCTGTGAGCAGAGAGAAAGTGTGTGTGTGTGTGTGTGTGTGTGTGTGTGTGTGTGTGTGCTCCCGTTGAAAAGTCAAAGCCGACCATTTGTATTTCCGAGTGATTCGCTTCCTCTCAAACTGGACTCTCTTCATAAATAACTGGCAGGAACATCCACTTGCAAACCAAAACAACAAAAAATAATGAAATAATGCTCTCAGCCTCACCTGCCTGTTTACATAAGTGGAATGTGCTCTCAGTAGATTCCCTTCCTGTTTAACACCTGGTGAATGGGGCAGTGAAGAAGTAGTGTACAAAAACGTACCAACACCC